GGGAATCCAGCTAGTCATCACTACCCACCGCCAACTCTTGGACTACACTTTTACCAACGAATAGTGGGATTGACCGTCACATTATAACGCCCCCACGACTGAAAGGGCGAGCATGTTTAGTGTGACAGGGATTCGAACCCGCGATCCTCAGATTGCGAGTCGAGTGCCTTAACCATCTGGCCATGCCGGGCCTAAACACTATAGGAATGATCTGTACAAGTTTGTACGTATTTCACAAAACTGATATGAAATATTTAAGTGACTGTAACAAATTTATTATTATGTATTCATTTTTAAAATGAACGTTGTTTGGATTGAATTTGTGTTTAGAAATATGCGTGACTTGTAGTGTCAGATATGTGTTGCTTATAACGAATTTGTTATATATTTATTTTAATGCCAACGTTCGTTTCGAATAAGTTTATATTTGAGAGCATATCTAGCTTACTGTGTTAGTTACGTATGGCGAAACTCCAGCCAATTCTTCAAGGTTCTAGAACATTCGTGAACACAAGAATCAATGATATATCCACTTCCGTAACCGGTTAAATACATCTAAGTATCGTTGAAAAAATCCTATAAAAGGCGACGTGCCAAAAACAACAGAGAACAGACAAGTCTACTAGGAAACTGATATAACAGTGTACGCTTATAAACAGGAAAATATACGACATTTGACCAGGAACAGTTGTAAATTTCAAACGTCAGTGAATTCTCATCAAACGTTAATATCTGTCCAAAAATATTACTGATTTCTCATCGGACATTAGTGGTTTTATGAAAATATTATCGTACTTCGACAGTCCAACAATTCAGTGCCTGACAAAGCTACCTAGCTTCCCGAGAATTGTACGTAAATCGACTTCAAATTGACTACTGGATATCAAGGACTCTGAATTAGGAAGACGATTTTAGGTTATTTGTAAGTTAGTGAAATTTCTGTTTATGAAACTTTGTTTGTAATAACTAATCGTAATAGTTGCCATTGTAAGTTATAATGTTGTGTATATATATATTAAAACGTATTTCTGTCAAAACAAAAACGGTGTGAATCAATCTTGTTGGCAAATAGCGTAAATTAAATAAAATATCGGCATATTTCTAAACACTAAATCCAGGGTACAGTTCAACAATTAAACGTTAAATTATTTAACGTTGTTTTAGATTATTTCAAATTATCAATACGTAACAGTGACTTTTTTTGTTTATTTTATTTAGTTAGAAGCCAAGAAATTGTGACACGATCTTCTTTTGCTACTTCAGCTACTACACAGCGTGGTCACAAGTAAATAGACA